CTCTTTTCCAATACAATGTTTGATACATTAAATTACTTTTATTACTTCTACTCCTGCAGTTGCTCTGTCTTCAGAATATCCTTTTGATTTAAGTGTATTTTTTTCCCTGTGGCTGAACTGCATTGCACTGCCAAGAAGTGAGTTTGGGAAGTCCTTGTGCATGTTTGGTCTTGGATTTTGCTGTGTCATGAGTGAATTAGCAACTGCGAAGTCTGTCAACCAATTTCCATGTCAGTGAACTAACATAATAATGTGTTTTCAGGGTCAAGCTGTTGCTCAGCTCTGTTCAACTGTTCCCAACGTTACTGTTTTTGGAACAGCTTCATCTTTCAAACATGAAGCAATCAAAGACTCAGTCACTCACCTGTTTGACAGAAATGCAGACTATGTTCAAGAAGTAAAAAGGTAATCTCTTTTTTTTTATGAGTAAGGGTTGTACAGTATCTGGCAAAATATGATGAAAGACACTGAGCTGATCATTTTGTGGGAAGAAATTTGTGAATTTGGGAACTGTAGTTTATTCCAGATTTCCATCTCCCTATTTGTTTTTAAGCCACATAAGCTTTGTTAGTCCATGTTCATACTTGGACATCTGTTGCAGACAAAGTAAAATAAGTGGAAAAGAATAAAGATCTTAACAGAATGATGTAGTTTGCTATTATCTGCATATGTAGGAGCTCACTGTAATGTACTAAGACATTTCCACTGGATCTGTAAGTTACCCAGGCTTTGGAGATCTCTGCTGTTTTTCTGTCTGCCTGGGTTTTTATCCTCTGCCAGGGATTGATATCGGAGCACATGATGTCCGTTTTAATTCCAGATCCTTAGATTTTGTTTGTTTGCATTCAGATTAGAATCATCCTGTTGGCTTTTGAAGTCTTCATGTGTGTTTCTGTTTACGTGCTTTCAAATACTTTGGTTTTTGGTTTGTCTAACTGTTTTTAAATATTGATGTTGATACAGGTGGCCAAACTTTAAAATTTATAAGAAAATCTTAGTAAAAAATGTCTTTTTGATTTTACAGGTCAGACAGATAAGAATAATGTTTTCCCCTTCATCTTGTATCTGTCAAAATAGTAGATTAGCTGGTCATAAACCAAGAAATTTCTCAAAGGAGCCCCCCAAGGTAGTACAGTTGACAGGCTTCCTATCAGACTTGGGCATGCCTCAGAGTGACGTGCAGTCTCAGAAGGTCTGTTAGGGTGAGGGTTACTAGCCCTGAGTGTATGGCAGACTTTTGTCTGAGATGTTAGCAATCCAGACTAGTGCTGGAGGAGAAAGTGGGGTGTCTTGCTACTTCTCTGAAGCACTCTCAAGGGCTTAAGACAACATTTTAAATGATCCATCACAAAGGACATTTTATATCAAAGGAAAATTTTTCCATATGGGAAGTTTCACCAAAAAAGACAGTTGTCCAGCAGATTACACCCCTGCCACTCTCTTACAGCTCAGAGGAATTGCAGCACGTTTCTCCAGCCCTTTGATAGCCTGGCTCTTGGGGAGGTTTGCATACCTAAGTGTTTTGCTACCCCTGGAAAAATCTTGTAGTGAAGGCTGAATTCTAGCATTCCCCACTTTACAAACATTGATTCAGCAAGAAAGAACACTTGAAAACATTAATTGGAGTTCAGCACCAACCAACCTTAATCCTAATTCTTGACAGGGGCAGCGGAAGATCTGATCTAAGGGGGTATGTGTTGTCGGAGCAGCTGCAACAGAAATTAGTGCTTAAAAACAGGAATAAAGCCCCTCTAACTTCTGATAACTTTATGATTGCAGATAATGTTGAGGGCTTCTGCCCTTCATCAGGACAGATTTTGAGGTTTTTTGGAGGGGTTTTTTTGGGGGGGGGTTTTGGGCAGGGGGAGAGTTCCCTGACAGCATCCCTGACTCTGTGTAACAGACCGTAAGTACTGAAATCAAAAGGAGACCTGGTTATGAAGGGGTGGAATTCTGCTCTGTTAAATCTGTTAAAATCCCTTTTGGTCATCCTGTATTTTCACATACTTTCACCTTGCAATAGACCGAAGAGGGAGAAAACCAGTGGGTACAAAAGATAAGATGTAGGAGCAATTAGCTAGTGTGTGCTTCTTTGCTGGTACAGAGGTGTGTAGTGTTAGCACAATTGATAGTCCTGATCAGAATGACACCCTGCAGAACATGATAATACTCTGATTTGTTGCTCACACCTGTGTATTTTGACTTTGCATTGAAAAATTTAAATAAAAAGTACAGTGGTAATTCTGAGAATGCTGTAAGGACAAATTGAATTTCTAGCTTGCCTTTTGAAAGAGGCAGTGAGTGAACAGTGCAGTTGTTTGGTTTGCTGGGTATTAGCTGTATACTGTGTTCTGCTTAAAATATTTGGCCATCCAGCAGGGAAGACAGCTAATCCTGCTTTTGCCTGCCTGCTGCGCACTGGGTCATGGGGAGCCCCAGGGGAAGGGGAAGGCTCTTCATCTGTTAAGAGGCTGTGAAGCAGGAAAGGGCCTGTGGTGACAAAAGGATAGAGGTAGGAACCTGCTTTATTGCAGGTGACTGGGATACTCCAGGGAAGAGCTTTCATCAGGGAACAAAGTCCAAAAAAACCCACCTCAAAAACCCCAAACAAATGAACAAACAAAAACCCCAAAACACAGAGGTGTTACAGACATGGAAATGTTCCTAGGGGATGAGGAACCAGTTCAACCGTGGAAGCTACCAAAAGCTGTTCGATTGCAAAGTCATTATTCATTTACAGAGAAAAACTCATCCAGTGGCCTGAATATAAAAAATGTATTGCCCCACATACAGCAGCAGTACCAAAGAGTAAAGTTGTCTGATTTTGTTGCTGTAACCAGTGGATGTCTGAGTATCAGGTTTGTTTTGTGAGGAAACAGAAAGTGGCGTTACAAGCCATAAAGCTTTACTTCTTTCCTGACTTCTAATTGCAGTCACACCACTGCAGAAGGCATGGTCATCAGGAGCTAATTGATGTTCCTGGGGGTTAGATGCTATTGACTGCCCCTTAAACCTTTGAAAGTCTCCAGGTTGCAATTTTCTTGTAGTGTCTGCACCAGTTATTTGCATAATTGTTTAGGAGTATTAATCAAACTACTGCTTGGGCTGTTGACTTAGTTAAGAAGTAGGATATTAGGCGAAAGTAGTGATAGAATTTTGCAGGCTGGTGTTTTGCTAGGAAAAAATAACTAAATCAAGATATTTGACTATTTTTCTCTTTTTCAGCGTCATATTGACATTGCATTCACAAAGCTATTTATTGGAAAATTATAAACGTGCAACCTGCTTATTGAAACAGTAGAAATATTTTCTGCTTTCTATAATATGGTCTGATTTTATCCTTAGAACTGGGTTTCTAGCTCTTGGTGACTTCTTGCTTGATTTAATTCTTTGCTGGTGTCTAGTTGATACAAAGTCTGAAACAGAAGAGTCTCTAAATAACTTTACAAGGACATCATTTTATCTGAGAAGAGCTAGGATAAGATCTGTTTCCTTATGAATTCAGAAAAAGAATATAAGATGATGTGAATAACAAAAATATCATTTTTCTCTGTCATTCATTGACACAAAAAAGACCTTCTCTGACATTCACATTCACTCAAAAAGAGCTTTATATCTGTCACCGGGTTTTTGATAATGTAATTTTACTGAAAGACCTCAAAAAGGGGGGACAGGATGGTTTGCCACTGTTCTAAGCCTGAAAGGTGTGGGTTGGCTATCCCAGCAAACTCAAATTCCAGCACTGAATGAATTTGAATTGTCTTTTGATGGGGAGAAGGTTCTCACGTAGTCAAAGCCTCAGCCTTAGAGTCCTTTCTAAAGTACCTGGAAAATGTGTCACGTTAACAGTCAGCCTGTATCATGTTGGCTGACCAGTCCCGTGGATCTTATTCCAAACTGAGATTTCTTTCTTGTTTTTAGAATCTCAACAGATGGAGTAGATATTGTTTTGGACTGTCTTTGTGGAGAAAATACTGGAAAAGGCCTCAGTCTTCTCAAACCACTTGGGACTTACATTTTGTATGGTGAGTGGAAAAAAACAGGTACCTATTTCAAAACTAAAGCTTTGCAAAGCTTAAAATCTCTTAAAATAACCCAAGTCTGAACTGGAGGCTGTCATGCTATACTTTCTCAATTTGACCATTTCCAATCCAGGATTTTAGTGCAGCTCCACATGGACTAAATTATTGAGAAACAATAGATAACACAAAGAAACTCTTAAAAAAAATTAAATCCCCAAAAGTGAAACTGAATGTGTTTCAGATTATTAAACATTATTTTTGTGAAGTATGAGAAGTGTAGGAGAAAGCTTGGATCTCCTATTCTGCACACGATAGGAATCACAATGTGGCCGAGGAAACTGTAATAATGTTCTTGTGGGAGGGAGGCTTGGAGGAAGACTTCAGGAAGAACGGTGTTTTTATTTGACATGACTTTGAAGAATTCAAGCCCAGGCTTCTGTTCACAAATTTCCCTTCATGTACATGGACTGTTCCACATACCAAGTAAATGCAGTTTACTTTCCTGCAGTTCTGCCATTTGTGTGTTGATTAAGCAGGCCAAGGTTCTCTAGGAGGACAGCTGAAGGGATTGCTAAACTTCTGAAATGTAGACTATATCTTAATCACAGTGGAAGGTGCAGTGGCATCGTGGATGAGCACACCTGCTTCCTTGGGCTTTCATCTAGCTAGCAGGTGGCAATAACAAACACATTGTCACTTGGGTATCTGCTTGGACTCTACAAGCCAACCTGGTTGCCTATTTGTAATGAAGTCCCAGCCAGTGAATTCTCATTGTGCTTTTTAACAGGTTGCAGGTATGTTCACACATGTAGTGATCAGATAAATGTATCTTTACAGATACAGAGACGGGACACCTGTGTGGTGATAGCTGCTAAATAATAGTGTGTCAGACAGAAGTGGCATTTTACTGCAGAGAAGGAAAAAGCTATAGAAGAGTTGTGGTGTCAAGATGCCCAGTAGCACTTAACCCGTTCCTGGTTTTGGAAGATGTGATAGATTGTTTTTCTTTATCTCAGAATAACTATAAACCTGTAGGGCTCACTCACCTTGGCCTTTATGTTATTTATTCCCAAATTATACTAATCCCTTTTAAAACTGGAGAGATGTTTTGTTTAGTTTTTATTTTTTCCTTAAATACAAATAATGGAAAATTATTTTACGTATATTAAGTGCTCTGCTTGTTATTATGTAATAAGTTGTGTGTGAATATACTCATCTTTACAGGTTCATCTAACATGGTTACTGGGGAGACAAAAAGCTTCTTCAGTTTTGCAAAATCAGTAAGTGTCCCAGTGCTGTGATTCTGCTCTTTTCTCCAACTTCAGTCTTTTCTGTAGCATTTTCATCTTTATCATTCTCATTTATCTCTAAGATGTTACTTTTGATGGTACTAAAGAGAGCATTTTTCTGACTGCAGTGTGGTCTGACATGTTTTCTTCTGGTATGACAGCTAGACAGGAACTGGATCTGTGTGCAATGCATGATCAAATTGTTAGCTGTCAGACATACAGCACTCACACAGCTCTGTTTGAAGTTAGACTGTGTTATTTATTTACTTATGGCAGAATATCATCTCCATGGATTTGGATAATTGTACCCTGTAGGTTCCTCTTATCTGAAAAGACTGTCAGGACAGTGGAGTGAATTTAAGGAGATAGATATTAAAGGAGATACATCTTTTAAGATGAGGCTTGTGTCCAGTCATTTCCAGCTTTTCAGAAGTTAGTTCCACACAGAAATGCATTTTTCAGTTCTCCATGTTCATTTCAAGTGACATCAAAGAGATGATAATGTTGCATTTGTTTCCTAATTGACAATGTCAGCAAACCCAAAATTCAAATGTTAATTTTTATTTTTTTCTGCTTACTACAACAAAAATCTGCGCAGAAATCCTAGAGATCGAAAAAGTATCAGATAAACTGCTAGTGAGAAATATGTTATCTAGGAGTGAAAGTGATTCCTCCACACAAAAAAAAAGAGGGAGAAGTCTTGACTGAAGATCTGTCATATGAGCTTTCTGCCAAGAGCTCATTTACAGCTTCCAGCAACAGCCCTTTCCCAGGAGAAATTAGCTTCAAAAGTCTCTGTGTAGTTGAAAACAAGATAAATCAAAGACTGTAGCAAGAAGTTATTCTTTGCCTCCTACATTTTCTTAATGGCTGTAGTGGCACAATCTTTGTTGCTGTCCTGCATTTGTGAACTAAAACAAGATAATCTTTACTATGCAGCCTTTTAAATGTTAATATAAACATATCCAGATGTGTAGAGTTTGTAGGGTAGGTTGTCTCAATGAAATCAATTTCAGCTGAAATGTTTTTCAGATAGTACTGGTATTTATTGAGTGAATAAATATGCATAAATTAAATTAATAATAAAAACAGCATATCAAATTTTGTATAAAAGTATAACCAATTTCTGTATGTAATTATACTGCAAAATTAACTCATCAAAATTATATGAAAATTTTAATTAAAAATTGACCCATTCAAATAAAACTTGCTAGGAAGCAGGATCTCAGTGTCAAGGATATTCTTGGGCTAAATGAGATAAAATAACTTCATTAGATATTAGGAGCCTTGCTCAAATATCACAAACATCATAATGGGTGAAAAGTAAATGGAAGCTGATAAGCTGTGTGTGGTTTCCTTGTTTTTGAGAGAAGAGTAATAGTCAAGAGTTGCTTGTGAACATTCGGGAAGCGTGCATGGCTCTCTGGAGATAACAAAGGAGGATAGCAGAAGAAAGGAGGGAAGACCAAATTCCTCAGTTCTAGACCCATGTCCTAAACCCAGAGCAGTTCACCGTTTTTCTAACACCCTAATCTCATGCAACACAAGTCTGTGTTTTATTTCCACATGTCAGTCAGCTGCATACTTTTTTGCCACTTCCTTAAATAAAACCTTTACTGCTTCTCTTGGCTGTTGCTTCAGATCTGACAGATGAGTCGTACATCACATCTGCTCAGACAGTTTTCTTGTGAACGTTCCTGAGTATATCTTGAAAAATGTTTTTCTAACCCTGCTGTTGTTTATTGCTTTCCAGTGGTGGCAGGTTGAGAAAGTAAATCCTATCAAGCTGTACGAGGAGAACAAAGTCATTGCTGGATTTTCCCTGTTGAATCTGCTTTTCAAACAGAATCGAGGTGGCCTGATCAAGGGTGTGATGGACAAACTCCTAAATCTATATAACAGTAAGAAGATCAAGCCTGTGGTTGATTCATTATGGGCTTTGGAAGAGGTAGGAACAAGATTTCTTTTCCCATTTTGAAATTTCTGAAATATATGCACTTTTAAATGTAAAATTAGATTGAAATATGTATTCTAGTTATTAATGTATTCTGCTTTTTTTTATTTTGTGCTCGTTGCCTCCAAAGCTCCTGCTCTCCAGAAACTCCATGGTTCAGAGTTATCCATACACTTCTCTAACAAATATTTCTGGTGTTTCAAATGCTATGTGCAGAGTTCTTGAAAATACTAATAATAAATGTGTTTTTTCAATCTTAGAAAATTGCTTCTGTTTCTTAAGTTCATGAAACGTGACTAACAAGTGTGGCCTGAAATACAGACATTATAATTGAAAACAACTTCAAATCTATTCTGAGGAAGCAATCAAATACATAAGCTTTAGTGTTATATTTGTGCTAGCAAACCCTGGAAGCTTGGAGGTTTTTGGGAAGTTACTGAAAATGTCACAGGCAATCAAATCAGAAGTCACTTTTAATGTAAGTTACATTTGTGGAGTGTGGGGTTTTTGAATCTTTTTTCCTTCTGATTGCTCAGCTCTCCTTAAAGACACATAAAGAAACTAATCTGATCATAGCCTGGGCAATTATAAGCCCCTTGACCAAAGCACTGTTTCTGAGACCTGTATACATAAGATGCTGATAAATAAGTATTTTTGGAGGTGTGAACAGATGTTAACATGTAAAGAAACAGCATCATTATAGTAGCACTGCCAGATTAATATTTTTGTTTTATGTGTTTGTGAAGTGCACTGAGGCTGACACATCACTTAAGATTCATGATCTGCAAGAGCTCTGCTGAATGTGGATTGTGGTTGTATCATTGTATGGTTGCTATTCAGAAGGCACTGCAACAAAATTCAGTCTGTGTCTGAACACATTTGCTGGTACTACCATGCATCCATGGAAGAGGAAACAGAAATCATTAGACTTAATACTTTAATAATATTGTATTTTGTTAAGATTTTGAGTGCCCTAAGGACAGGGTTTTGAGCCCAGCATGTTGTTCATTATTTAAGTGGCATTACAGCACCACCATCGTCATGGACACAGGTAAGGTATCTTGAGTTGTGTGGTGAGTCTTGACAGCCTGTGAGAGTTCTTGGAGTGCTCACTGGGGCTTGTACATACCTGGGCCAGGTTATATGACAAAGCATGTACTGCCTTAGGCTGTGCTAATGTGGGAACTATGTTTCTGTTCATGCCCCAGCATACCCCAGCATGCCATTTTATGTGGTGCAGCAGATGCAAACGGTCCAGCAAGATATGGACTCTATTTGTTCCTCTCTGGCAAAACAGAGAGGAATGACAGCTTCCCCAGCAATCTCTTCCTGTTTCTCTAAAATGTTTACCTGAGGCCTCACTGTCACTGATGGCAACTCAGGAACACTTGGGGGTTTTACCAGCCAGTGGCATGGGAATGGCTGATTCTCACCATCAAACTGCTTAAGGAAAATTAAAAGTTGTGCTAAAGAGCAGCTGGCTCAGGCAAGAGAAAATCCTCTGCTGGTGTCTGAAAGGCAGAGACATTTGAAGGGCAGCATGAAACAGAAATGGGATCAGATTTAGGTTTTTGATGTGGAGGGGTTTATTTAGTTATTAAATAAGCTTATGAAGTATTTAAAAAATTTAAGTGGCACAAGTCTCTAGATAGGCATTCTGCAATTTCTTTGTTCATGTAAATATGTGCTTTTCATGTATTGGCGAGTAAGAAAAGGATAATTAAAATAGTAACAATAGCTTCAAAAATCTTGATCAAGGACAAAACATGAAAAATTACACATGGCAGGCTGATTTAATAGTCAGAGTGCTGGGAATTTGTTGGAAGACTTCTGTTTGATAACATTTCATCTAACGTTTGGCAGTAACATGCACCATCCCTACCGTTAGATTGTGAAATGTGTAAATACATCTGTTAAAAAGCGCAGTCTAGAAAAGTACAGCTCATTTATCACGCCTGCTCACTTTCCATGTGGTAATTTACAAAGGAAGAGTCTGGCTACTATCTTCAAGGATATAACAGCACGAGAGTGTCCTTAATCAATTGCAGAGTATTATTGAAATATTACTCATTCGTGGCATTATTATTTTGGGCATATGTTTTTGTAGGTATAAAAATAACTTAGTGTGGACTCTCAATTTATTATGATACACAGAAAAATGTGTCATAGCTGAGGACTAGGTGGAACCAGGCTGAAGAAAGGTTGGTATGTATTTTTGTTCTGTTTTGGCAGGTTTCTTTTTTTAACTCCATAGCTCTATCATCTTCTCCCTTCAGAGTTTGACCTTTGATAGCTTTTTGTTTCCTGTTGTGTAAGCCTGGTTTTCTCCAAATGTCCACTTTTATTTGACCAGCGGTCTTCATTAGAGACTAAATCTATATGACCACTTTTTACCATTGATGTTTCCTGAGGAAATTTTCTGACTTAAAAGAGCACTGAGAATAAGTATGTTTAACTAGAGAGAGGCAGAAAGGTAGACTCTCTGCATGGCATTTGAAAATGAATGAATAGTTTTCTATGGAAGAATATCACCTTCTCCAGAGGCTCACAGGAGATTCCATTTGTCCTCTGAGTAGTAATTCTGCCATAGAGATGAGCTTGAATCCAGTAAGTGATATTAAAAATTAAAATACTTTAAGAAAAAAATCTCAAAGGAGCCTTGGCTATGGGACACCTTTCAAAAAGTTTAATGTTTCATACCTGAATGTATCATCACATACATAAGAGTTTTGATCTATATATGGAAGGTGTATCCCCAACATAGCCCTTCAGCTTGCTTTATTTGCTCTCTATCTGCATTTGTTTTCACATATTCCTTTGTGCAAATACCGATTCACAAATTAATGCAGATTCTTTAGAGCCAGTGTGGAAGACACTTGTTTATTTTCCAAAACTGTATTACAGTACAAACATTTATCTCTTCAAACCTGTATCAGTTGCATTAGCAATATATGTATTGGAGCAGAAATGCATCTCGCAGTCTTAGAAGAGGATGAGTTCTATCTACAGTGTTGTTCCCCTTGGCTCTCAAAGCCTGGTATGGTTCCTTGGACAGCATCTAGTTCTTAATACTTTCTGCAGGAGTACACAGTTTGAATTGAAAAGAAGATACTGATTAGAGAATATTGTAATTGCAACAAGACTTTGCCTTTTAAAGTGTTTCAAGTGGCAGTAATACAGGGTTTAGAGCAAGTTACTAGATTCTCATTTGTCTGTCATGTTGTAGTGTATGTTCAGTGATGTCTAGTTGATTGTTGAATAATATTCAAGATAGCAGTGTTCAGAAATTGTTATACAGACTTAGCTTGATACTATTCCTGTGGAAGAATAAAAGTTGGTCTGGGTGTCAGTGAGATTGTTCTAATTAGGATATAATGCTTTCCAGTGGTCCAATTTCTCTGGTTTAGGGCCTCATCCAAAGGCCATGGAAGTCAATGGAAGGACTCGTAGTTTCACAGACCTTTTTTCTATAGAATGAGGATTTCCCTGCCTCTTCAGTACAGTCTGCTGAAATAAACTTACCAATTGACTAAAGAGAAAGTGGGACAGAATTTATTCTGGATGGAAACTTAAAAGTGACTTTTTCTTCAGTGCATCAGATTATTGCTGACACAAGGGAGATCAGGATCTAGACTATTGACTACTGCTATGGAGCAAAACTATTTCTATTGATATGTTATGTGTTGATGTTGGCTTGGGAAGGGTAATTTTTATCTCAAATTTACATCCGTAAATCCTAGTAAAGTCAAATCTGTTCTCAAGTAGGCCATTTTATGATGTTAATGCAAGAAAGATTTAACTAAGAGAGACAGTTAAAAAATCCATAGATATTTATAAATGGAAGTCTAACTGGGAAAGTGTTCATCATGAGATGAGCAAAGTCATACGATAAACTCGCTGCTGTTGAGATGTCTTGCTATTTTGCAGCTTTGTTTATGCAGTCAAGTGTTTAAAAGACAAGATATTTTAAGCATGCACCATCTACAAATTACTGTTCTGTAGTAAAAAGCTGATTGTAAGATTGCATTTCATTACAAATAGAGTTTAAAACAGAATTAGTATTCACTGAATATTTGAGCTTTGTGGTTGTTTTTGTTAGTAACTACTTATCCTTAATTTGCAGTTAGTCACTCTTCGTTCTGATTAATTTGTAGTGTGCATTTATGCATTAGCATTCTCCTGAGGGTCTGTGAATCTTTGGCTTCACACAGTAGACAGTTCTAGATTATTAAGCAGGATGAAAACTGAAGTTTCTCAAAAAATCCAATGTGTTGAATAAAAATGTACATGTTGCACCTATTAAAATTCTGTTTTCTTCAGCTTTTTATAACTACAAAAGAAAATATACACTCAAGGTAGAATGTGTTATTGACATAGAAGTTGTAAGCACCTTCTTTAGGTGATTTACAGCAGTTAAAAGTAGCACTGATAACATGTAAAACAAAACTAACAAATTCTTGCACGTGAACTGCCAGGCAGGAAAGTGACAGTGCAAAATATGGTCCATATCTTCAACATCTCTGTAGGCCCCTTTCCCTCACACTAGACCACCTGTTTCAAAAAGGACTCTCACTATGTCAGAAAGTTTTCAGATCTATGCTATTTTGGTCCATGTGGGTGACCAGTGAGATTATGGAAAGACAACCTGACTACACACCTGTTCTGTGTACCAGAGTTCATTGCGTTCTTGTCTCTGCCATGATTTAAAGGAGTGCTCTGTTACATAGTAATAACCGTATCAAAGACCTGGACTGCCTTGGGGCCAGAAGATCCTGAAACCTGTGGAACACAGTTGCTACTTTCTATTAAAATCAGATAATATTACAAGATCAGGCCAGTACCTTATAGTAGGCGCTGAACATCACCCCAGGTCATGGTTTTGTAGTGATAATGGAATCATGTCTTTAGCTAAATTCCTTACTTGGCAAATAGTAACATAACTGTAGCTCAGATCCAGGAACATACTGTGGCACTCAGCTGTGATTGAAATCAGA